GGCCTGGGTCAGGAAGTGGGTGACTCAGCCGTGTATCCTAGCACTTTGGAAGCTGAGGCCGGGAAGATTGTGAGGCCAAGGAGTTTCGAGACCAGCCTAGGCAACAGAGTGAGACTCAGTCTATAAAACGACAAACAAACAACAATACAAAAAAACCCAGGGGTGGTAGTCAACACTGTATCCCAGTTTACCAGGATGCGAGGTGGGAGATTGCCCTTGGCCCTAGGAGGTCAGGCTGCAGTGAGCTTGGTGATTACTCACTGGCACTCCAGCCTGGCAACCCTACCTCAAAGAGAAGAAAAGAAAGGAAGAAGAAGAGTAGTAGTCTTGCAGCCATTGCCTGGGAGTCATTAGCACCCATTGGCCAGATGAGGAGACTGAGCCCAAGAGGCCTAAGCAAATTTGCCCATGTCAAGGCAGCTGGGAAAGCAGTGAGGCCTTCAGCTAAGCTCTTAAGTGATTTAGGGAGCAAAGACTCAAAATAGAATCAAATTAAAGCCTTGCCCTCCAGGGGAAAGCCAAGTGACACTTAAGTTGAAAAGGTTCTAGAACATTAGTGTCTATTTACGTTGTCCAGGGTCCCAAAGAATCTCACGGTTCTTGTTTGTTTGTTTTTTTTTAAGGTGTCCCTGCACTCTGTTGCCCAGTTAGGATGGCAGTGTGACAATCTTGGCGTTCAGGCAAATTCCTCGCCTTTAGCCTCCAAGTAGACCGAGTTACAGGTGCAGGCCATACACAACCGCCTAATTTTTTTTTTTTTTTTTTTTATTTGAGCAGAGCTCGCCGCAGTCGCCCAGCCCTTGGAAGTGAGTGGCGGCGATCTCTCTCACTGCAAGCTCCGCCCCGGGTTCCCGCCAATTCTCCTGCCCTCAGCCCCCTCCAAGTTAGCCCTGGGAACTACAGTGCCCGCCACACGCCCGCTAATGTTTTGATTTTTAGTAGAGACGGGGGTTCAATGTGTTTACCCCAGGATGTCCGGATCCCTGACCCTCGTGATCCCCCGTCTCGGCCCCTCCCAAAATGCGGGATTACAGGCTTGAGCCCACCACCGCCAGGCCACAACCGCTAATTTATACCTTTAGTAGAGACGAGGTTTCATCATGTTTGGCCAGGCCTGTTCAAACTCACTACCTCAACATAATCCGCCCAACTCTTGGCCCTCCCAAAGTGTCGGATTAAGGTCCGGAGCCAGCTGTGCCTGGCGTCCTGGTTCGTTGGCTCTCCCTGGTGGGGTGGACGTTCCCCTTCACTCAGGTTGTTCACATCCCCCCTCTGTTTGGCGGGCAGATTGCAGTGTCCAGGGAACAGGTGATTGTCCAAAGGCACCAAGGTCCTCAGGCCTCTCCCGAATCCTTCTTCTTTTCTCCGTCTGGGCCTTCTCTCCAGTAACCAGTTTCTTTTTTTTTTTTTTTTGAGACGGAGTCTCCGCTCTGTCGCCAGGACCTGGAGTGCAGTGGCGGAATCTCAGCTCCCTGCAAGCCTCCCGCCTCCCGGGTTTCCCGCATTCTCCTGCTCAGCCTGCGGAGAGCTGGACTACAGGTGGCCCGCACCGATCGCAGCCAGTTTTTGTATTTTTTAGTAAGACCGGTTTACCGTGTTAGCCAGCGAAATGGATCCTTCGATCTCCTGACATTGTGATCCGCCCGTCTCGCCCTCCAAGAATGCTTGAAATTACCAGGCCTTGAGCCACCGTGCCCGGCCCCAGTGTCCTCTTATCTACACAGTGGAATTGCCAGGTAAGAACCCCTCCATGACATTTTTAAAATTTTTTATTTTTATTTTTTGTTTAGAGACAGACTCTCCGCTCTGGTCATCAGGCTGGAGTGCCGGTGCCACAATCACAGCTCACTGCAGCCTTGGACTTCCTGGACTCAGGGTTGACTCCTCCTGCCTCAAGCCATCATCCAGCAGCTGGGAACTACAGGCAGGCAACCCAACCCACGCAGCTAATTTTTTCTTATTTTTGGTAATAGACCCGGGTCTCCTATGTTAACCCGTGCTGGTCTTTGAACTACCTGGGTTCAGCAATCCTCCACGCTCTGCCTCCCAAGCCCGGAATTACAGTATGGCCACACATGCCAAGGCCTGGGAATGTATAATTTTTTACTGTTAAGCCAATTCACCTGACTGTCTTTTTCAATCCCTCAGCAATCTAAGAATTAGGATATCATCACTGGCCCTTTTACAAATGAAAAACCCTCTGGACCTCCAGGGCTTGACACTGGATCACGCCTTTGGAGAGGCAGAGCTGGAGGATCCGCTTGAAACCAGGAGATTGAGACCAGCCTGAACAACATTCTGGACCCTATCTCTACAATTTTTTTTTCTTTTTGTTTTTGCAATTGAGTCATCGTCGCACCAGGCTGGAGCGGCGTGGTGGATCTCTGCTCACTGAAGCTCCGCTCCCGGTTTACGCATTCTCTGCCTCAGCCTCCCGAGTAATGGACTACAGGCGCCGCCATTCTACAAAATTTTTTTTAAAAAATTAGCTTGAGTGTTAGTGGTGTGTGCCTTGTAAGAAACCAACTGTAGGTCCTCTGAACGGGCTACACCATAGTGAGCCATTGTGACCCCGTGACCCCACCTACAGGCCCGGGTACACAAGGACTGGAGGAACAGGAGAACACTAAAATAACAGCCTAGTTTCCAGGCCAAGCGCGGTGCTCATTGTCTGTAATCCCACGCCACTTTTGGGAGCTGAAGCGGCGGATCAAAGGTAAAGGAGAATCGAGGAACCATCCTGGCTAACGCGGGGAAATCCATCTCCCTAATAATACAAAAAACCTAGCCCGGGTGGAGGTGGCCGGCGCCTGTAGTCCCAGCCTCTGAAAGGCTGAGGCAGGAGAATGGACTGATTCTGCTTCTGTTGGGAAGCCCCCTCACCCATCGATCTCCTGACCTCGTGATCCGCCCGTCTCGGCCTCCCAAAGTGCTGGGATTACAGGCTTGAGCCACCGCGCCTGGCCAGAAAATGCCATTTTTAAGTTTGCAGTAAATGTCCACTCCACACAGGAAGGGATTTTGTCTGTCACGTTCACTGCTGTGTCCCCAGCATGCTAAATAGGGGCCAGGCTCAAAGTGAATGCTTGATGAATCTTTGGCAGATGAAAGTATATTATATGCTGGAAGCAGTGGCTCATGCCTGTAATCTCAGTACTTTGGGAGGCTGAGGTGGGCGGATCATGAGGTCAGGAGTTTGAGACCAGCCTGGCCAACATGGTGAAACCCCGTCTCTACTAAAAATACAAAAAAAGTAGCCAGATGTGGTGGTGCACGCCTGTAATCCCAGATACTCGGGAGGCTGAGGTGGGAGAATGGCTTGAACCTGAGAGGCAAAGGTTGCAGTGAACCAAGATCGCACCACTGCACTACAGCCTGGGCAACAGAGTGAGATCTGTCTTTAAAAAAATAAAAAGTAGGCCGGGCGCGGTGGCTCAAGCCTGTAATCCCAGCACTTTGGGAGGCCGAGACGGGCGGATCACGAGGTCAGGAGATCGAGACCATCCTGGCTAACACGATGAAACCCCATCTCTACTAAAAATACAAAAAACTAGCCAGGCGAGGTGGCGGGCGCCTGTAGTTCCTGCTACTCGGGAGGCTGAGGCAGGAGAATGGCGGGAACCCGGGAGGCGGAGCTTGCAGTGAGCTGAGATCTGGCCACTGCACCCCAGCCTGGGTGACAGAGCCAGACTCCGTCTCAAAAAAATAATGATAATAAAAATAAAATAAAAAATAAAAAATAAAAATTTTTTTTAAAAAAGTATATTATCATTTGATGGGGGGATCAGGGACTCTTCAATAGGCAAAATTTCCCAAGCTGGCTGAATTGACATCACTGTAGGGGGCAGATTCAAACAGACTCATCATTAAGACCAACCGCTTCTTAGAGGCAGACACCACAAAGCCATCTCGACAATTCTCTTTAATAAGCCCGCTAAACAGTGAGAATTATTTGAGGACAGAGAAAGCCTTTTTCCAGGAATGCTTCAAGCATGATGTGTTTCCTTCCCCGGCTTAATATGTATAATTTGCCTTCTGGAAAAGGAACCCAGAGACTCTGGCATGACTTAGGAAACAATAGACAATGTCACAATTTACCAAGCATAATCGTCTCCTGCAAGGATGAAGAAATCCATGTAGCGCAAGGACTTGAAGCCCAACAAGAGGACTTTGACTCATGGATTTCTTAGCAGGTTTCGTTATAGTGGGTCCTGGGGTCAGATGGTCAAATGCCACAGGCTGCTCACTCCCGGAATTGAGAAATAGGGAAAAAATGCCAGCACCGCCCCTGTTTGTGCAGCTGCCCTGTTTTGCCAATTTCACAAGGGCAGAAGTAGGGAAAACCCATCCAGGCTAGAATAGAAAGATGTTTGCTCCTCCTCCTGCCAGCCAATCCCAACCAAGCCCTGAGTTCAGTGTCCTGGGTGTGCAAAGCTCCTTGCTAGGGGAGGGGAGGGCTTTAGGATATGACCTTCATGGCCAGGCACAGTGGCTCCTACCTGTAATCCCAGCACTGTGGGAGGTCGAGGCGGGAGGATCACTTGAGGTCGGGAGTTCGAGACCAGCCTGGCCAACATGGTGAAACCCTGTCTCTATTAAAAATACAAAAATTAGTCGAGTGTGCCGGCTCCTGCGTGTAATCCCCGCGACTTGGGAGGCTGAGGCATGAGAACTGCTTGAACCCGGGAGGCAGAGGTGGCAGTGAGCTGACATTGTGCCACTGCACTCCAGCCTGGGTGACAGAGCCAGACTCTGTCTCAAAAAAAAAGTAGGGGGGGATAAAGACCCTCATGGCTCATGGAACAGGCAATTCTCTTACCGCTGTGGCCCCCAAGGAAGCGGCTGGGGCACTTCTCAAGCCTATCTTGGAGGCTTGGCTGGGAAGAGAGAAACACCCTCAACTCCACCTGGTTCGATTTAGAGGGATTCTTGCCCCACACCTGTTTAGATATTAACTCAGCCACGACCAGTCAAGGCAAACAGGCCAGGGCCAGGGCAGACAAGAGGACAGACAAGAGGACAGATATCTGCAGCCTGTGGCCACCCGTCACCCTCCCACCCACCATGGACATGCCCTGGCCCCTCGGGTGGATTCTGCTTCTGTTGGGAAGCCCCCTCACCCACGCTGAGCCTCTGTGAGTCTGGGGAATGGAGGGGGCTCAGCTGGCTTCCTGCACATCTGATGTCTGCGTGATTCCAGCTTGTGACTCCTGTTTGGTGTCACTTTCCCTACTCAAGTCCCTTAATGCCCCTGTGTTTGTCTACTGGCAGGTACATCCTGGTGACCCCCCGAGTCCTGAGGGTTGGCAGTCCGGAGAGCATTCACATTCAGGCCCACTCGGACTCCAGACAGCCCCTCACAAGGACCCTCGAGGTGAACTTCACGGTATGGGACTTCCCCATGAGGAAGACAGTGTTGGCAAGGAGCCAGCTCATTCTCTCGCCAGGAAACAACTTTATGGACCAGGCACCTGTGACGGTGGGTGACAGGCTGGAATGCGTGACCACAAAGGGAGGCTCCGGGTCAGCAATAAAGGTAGAAAGAGGCAGACTCTGTGTCTAGAGAGTAGATGCAGGGCCCAAAGTACTTACCGCTCCTCTAACATCCTGTCCATTTAGAAGTCAAAAGTCCCTAAGCCTGGGCTCCAAGAAGCCTCCACTAGCCCATTTGATGCCTCTCCGAGAACTATAAAAGGTGCCTTCTGTTGGTAGCTTGGGAAGTTGAGCATGGACTGGATTTCGTCCTTCCTTTGGCTGGGTGCTCTCGTTCAGTGAGCAACCTGCACAACTGCACATGGCAACCTAGCTCCCAAAGGCAGAACCAGAAGATCCTCAGTCAATTGCTCCTCCCAGGATCTGTCTCAGGGCTTTACTCCCAGTCAGGGAGACCCCAGCAGAGCCTGAGGAGTATGGATATCTCTCTCTGTCAGGTTCCCGAGAGCCTGGTGTACCCCCCAAAACCAGGGCAGCAATATGCCATCATCCGGGCAACTTGGGCACCCTCCTCGGACTCCTCATTCATGGAGAAGATAGTGCTGGTGGCTCCTCATGCTGGCTACATCTTTATCCAGACAGACAAGACCATCTACACCCCTGAGCACTTGGGTACAGCCCCGAGGCACTTGGCTTGGAGCAATCACTGGCTCTCATTCCCAGTCTTTCCCAATGTCTGAGATACTCCCATCCCCTAAAATCTTCTCCACCTCCCAAGATCTCTCTCTCTGCATAAGTGGCCCCCACCACTGCCCAAGATCCAAACTCTCTCTCTCTCTGTCTTTCCCTTCCTCTACTCAATACTCAGAGTTCTCCTTCTCCCCTAGTTCACTACCGGGTGTTCACTGTTAACCACAAGATGGACCCTGTGACCAGGACATTCACTCTGGACATCAAGGTGGTCTTTCCCGATGGGGGGTGGTGGGGGTGGATCCTGGACACTGAGGTTGCACGGCGTGCTGAAGCATGAGCCACAAGGGCCCTCCCAGAGGGCAGTCACCAGCCCCACCCCCTATCCCCACAGAACCCGGAGGGAATCACCGTGATTAGCCAGAGTCTGAGAGCCAAGGACGGCTTCTTTTTCAGCTCCTTTCACCTCCCAGAGCTTGTCAGGTGCCCTTGTCAGGTCTGGGAGCCGGAGGGGTGGCAAGGGAGGCTGTCATTCTCTGTCTCCATCTCTCTTAACTTTCTGTGCCTCAGTTTGGGGACCTGGACCATCGAAGCCAGCTACCAAAGTACACCCAAGCAGAAGTTCAAGGCTGCCTTTGATGTGAAGGAATATGGTGAGAAGGCTGTGGGTGGGGTGGGCAAGATAAGTATGCCAGGGACGGGACTGGGAATGGAAAGGAGGTTTCAAGGGGAGCCTCCACTGTAAACCAGGGCCTGACCTGGGTGCTAAGTGCTGGGTGCTGGTGTTCCAGCCCTTGGGGCTTGGCAGAGCCACAAAGGAAGGAGCAGCACTGGGAGGAGATGAGGGAGCAGGTACAATACTGAGGGTGCTCATGGCTTTTTTTTTTTTTTTTCCTCCCAGTCCTCCCATCTTTTGAGGTCCAGTTGGTCCCAAACAAGACTTTCTTCTATCTCAAGGATGAGGTTCTGGGCGTTGACATCCAGGCTCGGTGAGGCCCCTTCCTCCCAGCCCTGCCAGAAGACCAGGGACACAAAGACTGAATACAGAGAAACAAGTGCCAGGTGCTATGGCTCACGTCTGTAATCCCAGTGCTTTGGGAGACCAAGGCAGGAGTATCACTTGAGGCCAGGAGTTCAAGACCAGCCTGGACAACATGGCAAAAACCCTTCTCTACCAAAAAAAAAAAATAGCCAGGCTGGCTGGGCGTGGTGGCTCATACCTGTAATCCCAGCACTTTGGGAGGTCGAGGAGGTTGGATCATCTGAGGTCAAGAGTTCGAGACCAGCTTGGTCAACGTGGCACAAACCCATCTCTTCTAAAACTGCAAAAATAGCCAGGCATGGTGGTGCACACCTGTAGTCCCAGGTACTCAGGGACTACTGAGGTGGGAGAATCACTTGAACCCAGGAGGTAGAGGTTGCAGTGAGCTGAGATTGCATCACTGCACTCTAGCCTGGGTGACACAGTGAGACTCTCTCTCAAAAAAAAAAAAAAAAATTGGGGCCAGGCGTGGTGCCTCAAGCCTGTAATTCCAGCACTTTGGGAGGCCAAGACAGGTGGATCATGAGGTCAGGAGATCGAGACCATCCTGGCTAACACGGTGAAATCCCGTCTCTACTAAAAATACAAAAATTAGCTGGGTGCAGTGGTGGGCACCTGTAGTCCCAGCTACACGGGAGGCTGAGGTGGGAGAATGGTGTGAACCTGGAAGGTGGAGCTTGCAGTGAGTGGAGATCGCGCCACTGCACTCCAGCCTGGGCGACAGAGCGAGACTCCATCTTAAAAAAAAAAAAAGTATCCAGGAGTGGTGGCGTGTGCCTGTTGTCCCAGTTGCTAGGGAGGCTGAGGTGGGAGGATCGCTTGAGCCCAGGAGGTAGAGGTTGCAGTGAGCCAAGACTGTGCCACTGCCCTCCAGTGTGGGTGACAGAGTGAGACCCTGTCTCAAAAAAAAAAAAAAAAAGAAAGAGAGAAGAAGCAAGCCACTTCTGTAGCACTTAGGGTGGCAGACGCACTCTCCTCCTACCCATGAGATATTCTGGGCCACCTGTGTTGTCCTGTGAGGTTGTACAGACCATGTCTGCCACCTGTGAAGTTGTATAAACCATTTCTTCAAGTCTATGAATTTGTAGAGGCCACCTTGTCTACCCAATGGAGTTGTACTGAGTCTCATCTCATCTGCCACTCCACAGTTTAGACCACCTCTGAAAGTCCATGAGGTGGTACAGGTTACCTTTGCCATTGAGAGATTGTCCAAACCATCTCTGCAGTTCTATGAGATGGCAAATGACACATTTGCTGCCTTGTGTTTTACAGACCATCTGCATTGCTCTATGAGGTTGTGCAGGCAATGCTGTCCACCTGAGATTATACGGGCTATGGGAGCCCCATCTTGGTGAAGGGCACTTCTGGACATTATATGAATCATTCCTGCCACTCTAACATGCTACATAGGCCACCTAGTTTCCCTGGTGAGGCTGCACAGGCCACTTCGTAGGTTGTCCAGACTTCTTTGTGGCTTTATATAGTTTTAAGTCCACCTCTACCATCTTGGGAGATTGCACAGACCACATCTACAACCCATCAAGGCTTTATGGGATATATTTGTCACCTCCCAGAGTTGTGTGGGTCATCAATGAAACCATCTAAGTTTCCAAGTTCCACCTCTGCCCCTCCTAATGTGGACAGTCATCTCTGAAGCAACATGAGGTATGTGGGTGCTTCAGAGACAGTGGAATGGTCCTCCATCCCCCAGGTATATATTTAACAAGCCAGTGGACGGACATGCTCTGGTCATCTTTGGGGTGAAACTGGACTCCCGCCGGATCCCTATCCAAAGCTCCCTGCAGAGGGTGGAGGTGACTGAATCCCAGCTCCCCAGCCTCCAATTCACTCCACTTTCTATCACTTCCCAAGAAACCATATCTTCTTCCTCTCTCTTACCTTAAGAACAGATCTCGGAAGGCCTGGGCCACGTCTCCCTCCGGAAGGATATACTGATGGCTGCATTCCAAGGCCCAGAAAAGGACTTCATTGGAGGATCAATCTTTGTCAATGTCACCGTGTTCTCCTCAGGTGCCACCCTCACCCAGGCCCCTGACTGAGGTCAGGACATGGTGTTCTTGCCCAATGCAGACACTCCATCCACGTGACCTTGGTCCACCTCCTAGCCTCAGTTTCCTCAATAGAGAAATGGGAAACACCAAAAAGGGTGGAAGGAGTTGAAATGGTGTTATTGTCTTTCTCTGCCTTCACCAAGATGGGGCTCCCATACTAGTCCTGCCACTCACTTAAGAAATTGAACTCCCTCACATACTCTATGTTCCCGCTATCTCTACAGGGGGTGAGATGGTGCAAGCCGAGACCTCAGGGGTGAAGATTGTCCAGAGCCCATACAACATCAAGTTCACCAGGACACCCCAGTATTTCAAGCCAGGAATGCCCTTCCACTTTCGGGTCAGAGTCTGGACTCACTACACCTAGGGACTCAGGGCCCCGTCCCCAAAACAGACCTCCCACAAAGAGACAAAAACCCACACTGGACTCACCTGCATCCAACTCATCTGAAGGTTGAGTCCATCATATTCCCCAGGCTAATCCCAGAGTGCCCCCAAACCTTAACCCAGATACCCCCAAAGCACAGTGATGACTCCAGAATTTCTCTATGGGGACTTAGAGGCCACAATCAGGCTGGAAGAGGGTGTTTGAGGGTTTATCTAGAGGCTGCATTTGCAAAGCAAAGCATGGTCTTTTCACATATATTAATTTGGATGGGCATTAGGAAAATTAGGGATGTCCTTTGGCACCAATCCTACTCCAAGACTCCTGTAGGGTCTCGTGTGTCCTCCTTCCCTCTCCACTCTCAGTCTTCCCACTTACCATCAGCTCCACAACACCCAGTGTAACTACATGTGGTTGTACACTGCAAAGCTCTAGGAGGCGCCATTCATAAAAACTCTAATATGAATGGTGCCCCTGGTGTTGTTTAGTGCACCATGTATAAAGTTGTACAAAGCAGTCCTATTCAGATCATATTCCAGTCTCACCTCTCACACCAGGCCACCCCAGGCTTTTCCTTCACCTCACCCCAGATTCCACCCCAGGTCTTCGTCTCAAATCCTGATGGATCCCCAGCTGACAGAGTCCTTGTCCAGTCCCAAAACTACAAAGTGTGCACCTCAACTGAGGGACTGGCCACTCTGACCATCAACACAGATGCAAATCTGGACAAGCTCCCCATCGAGGTACCAACTTGACAAGGCAAGGAGGGTGGAGTTGGAGCTGTGTGAGTTGGAAGGGTTGGGGTTTACTTGCCCATCATCCTCTCTAGGTGAAAACTGAGGAATCTCTTCAGCCAGAGGAGCAGGCTTCAGCCAAGATGACAGCTTGGCCTTACTTGACTCAAGATGGGTCAGGAAACTTCCTGCACATCGAAGTAAAGACATTGGGCACAGAGGTTGGCAGCAGCATCCAGCTGAGCCTCAATACAAAGCATCAGGACCCTAAAACCAAGGACCGGATTACTCACTTCACCATCCTGGTAAGGGGCTAGGACCAGCATCTGAGTCAAGGAATTCTTTCCTTGGAAAAACCTTGGCTTGCTGGGTTGGAGAAACTACGAAAAAAGATATGAAGATGGCAACAATCTTGAGTGGGCTCAGATCAAGAGGCTGAAGAAAAGAGACTATGAGCCTCCATTGTGGGGTGGGACAGCTTCAGGGAAAGACTGGCCTTACCCTTCTCATCCTTGATCTCCCTTGTCTCCAAGGTCCTGAGTAAGGGCCAGATTGTGAGTGCCAAACATCAGTCAAAAAGCCAGGGGAGCGTCTACACGTCAGCCATTATTGATGTGACTTCAGCGATGCTGCCCTCCTTCCGCATTCTGGCATTTTATTTACTTCCCAGAGGAGTGAGCCAGGATCCTGAGTTGGTGGCTGATTCCATATGGATTGATGTGAATGACAGATGCATAGGGACGGTAAGCCAAACTCCTTATAGTTGTGAATCATCATCATAAAACCCCAGAAAGGGGCCGTACAAATTTAGGCATTCCCAAACTGGAAGCCAAGGAAGAGGAGAATATGTGGCCTTAAGAGCTCAACACAAGGTGTGGCGATGATGCAAGTAAATAAATACATGGAATTGGGATTAGCCTAGTGGAGTTCTCAGATGCTACACCAGAGCAGTAGGGAACATAAACCTGAAAGTGGAGTTGTGTGGTCTATGATTCCCTTTTTCTGTCATCTCTCTTTTTCTTGGCTCAGCTGAAAGTTGGCTTGAAGAATGATAGATTCTTCCCTTCTTTGGAGCCCAACAGCCAAGTGGAACTGAAGGTGACAGGTGATGCAGAAGCCACAGTGGGGCTGGTGGCTGTGGACAAGGCTGTCTATGTTTTGAACAGCAAACACAAGCTCACTCAGAAGAAGGTAAGAGCGTATGGGCTTTGGGCCAAGATGTTGCCAGGATATTCTAGCTGGAACCTCAGCTTCTTCAGCCATAAAGAGGACAACATCAACGTAATGATTCAAGGAGATGGTGCAAAGCCTAATGACTGAAAGGTGATAAGAGCTGAAAAAATGGGAGATAGTATGAGAATTATTATTTGAGCCTGCAATTCCAGTATACCATTTTTCCTTTCATGGAGGAGTCATATAGGTCCCAAATCCAGGTTCCTCTCTTAACCTCTAGGTCTGGGATGTGGTGGAGGAACATGACATTGGCTGCACAGCAGGAAGTGGAAAAGACAGATTTGCTGTGTTCAAGGATGCTGGATTGGACCTGAAAATGAGCACAGGAATGGATAGCCTGGCAAGCACAGGTACAGGCTTGGGGGGTTGGGGCAAGAGGAGGGCAGGAATGGGGGCAGTGCTGCCTAGTGGCCAGTGGGGTTTAGTGTCAAACAGATATGGGCTGTAATCCACATCCTGTCACTTACCATGGGCCAGTCACATTTCTCTCCAAGTCTTGATTTCTTTGTCCATAATTACAGATAATAACAGAAGTAACTTCAACTGTGTGTTTG